CTGTACTCTAAACAGAAACTGAACAAGACAGAGATAAATTGCGTTCTTACAATTATACAAGACATTTTCATGCGTCTTTTAAGACTTGTGCAAAGATCAACGAGTTTTTGTTGATCTGTATTTTGCAGGTGGAGTTTATGGGAGAAGACTAGCAGAAGACTCATCTCCATTTTCTTGATCCAACTGTGACTCTGATGGAACTCCTGAAACTGGTCTTGTTTCCTCTGGGATAAATCTCGCCCATCGTTTTTCCTTCACGAGTTCTAAGAACGGGTACAAGCCCAACCCGAGAACAATGATCACACCGCTGATTAAATACGTCTTTACGGTGGCCAAAACCATCACAAGAATGAGTAGGAAAGAAGGAGGCAGGCAGAGCATTAAAGCTCCAATGGTGTTTAAGGGAATTCTGTAAGGTCGGTGAAGATCCGGTTTCTTGATCCTTAGTTTGACAAAGGCTGCGAATTCCAGAAGCATACCTAACGCGTACAAGAAATTCAGAAACTCTATGATCTCTTGAAAGCTCATCCACGACAGGAATATGACTCCGGTTGCTGAGCACAGAATACTGATTGTTGGTGTCCCATACTTTGACCTGCAACACACAAAAAGAGCGTTAAACCGAGTTTTACAAGGGCATCATAACATAAACACACTCTTGCGGACTAACTAACTGACCTCTGGGCGAAAAACGCAGGGAGCATCCCGATCTCGCTCATACCGAGAAGCTGAAATGCATCACTACTCATCTCGGCTTCAAACAATCCAAGATTCGACATTGCAGCAGCAGCTTGTATCCATCCCTTAAGCCAAACACCTCCAATAAGCATTCCAACCTCAGCAAAATACCCATCACTCCACTCACCCGAAGAAGCCGAGCTTAAAGCTCCAGTCCCTGCCATGAGCGGAATCAAATACGACCCCATGACCAACAAAACCGCTCCAAACAAAGCCTTTGGAAAAGTCTTCCCGGGTCTATCAACTTCTCCTGCAAGTGTACTAGCTTTGTCCCAATAATTCAGATTCCAAAACATGGTATTGAAGTACCCTCTCCAATTAACCTTTTGGAAATCCACAAACAACCAACGCTTAGGCTTGATCCGAGGAACCGCGAGCAAAGCCATCACAACAAAAGGGCAGAGTGAGAAAACCGCAAGCAGAACAGCTGAAAAACCAACAATATGCAATCCTCTATAGTTCAAATACGTCAAGGAGAACGTTATCCCTAATAGAGCAGGAACACGAGCAGCTACATGATTCAAAACAGGGAAGGAATGTTTGAGGTAATCAAGAAACAGTACAGGGTACAAAGCATTGTCCATAACACCACTGAACCATTTCCAAAAACCTTCTTGGAATCCCCAAAACGGACCAAAAGCTGATGAGATCCAAACCACATAGCCACCATTCTCAGGGAAGCTTGTAGCGAGCTCTGCTGTGACCAGAGCTTCGGGTATGCTCCAAATCAGAGGGAAAATTAAGAACCCGAGAAGGGCTAAGAGAGGACCACCTCCTGATTTCACAGAATCCTCCACACCAAAAGGACCACCAGAAACTTCATAGAAAATCAGGAATACAAGAGGCAATAGTGTTAGCTTTGGACTTGGTGTTGTCACAGTGGCGTTTTCATCGCTTGCGATCGTCTCTTCTGCACCCATCAAACAAATACCACCGACAAATTACAAGAGAGAGACCACTCTGTGATTCTCTGGAAACAAAACAAACAAACAGAAAGATAAAAATCAAGCCTTTGTCAGAGAAAATATCGAAAAGCAAGAGCCTTTACGAGGATTTGGAAAATATAAAGTCAAATTAAACGATGGGTTTCTGTTTGGAGAACTTGTAGATCGAAATGGGTTTGGTACAATTAACAAGTTACCTTGTAAGGATAAACTGGGTCTCTGACTCTGTCTCTCTGTGGGATTGATGGAGATAAAAGAAGACGGAATTGATTGGGAAGACGAAGCAGAACAAGTTTCCTTCTCAGATTCAAGATTTGATGGTGACGTTCAATCGCAAAATATCTTGCAGAAATCGTTTTCGCGTAGGACTGCATTTTAGTTTTGTAATTAAAGACGCCACATGGCTCCCACTATTACACTTGCCTCATCAATTCCAGGACTTCGTCAAACTTTTGCTTCTCTTCATTTCCAAATTTCTTGATAAAATAAATTGAATTTATAGGCATAAGAAATTTTAGTTTTCTTTGGTCTAATTTCGGATCATATATTCAATGTTGTTTTTTGTTGGGACTGTCCGGTCTAACCGATCAGACACACGAACTACAGCGTCCGATGTCTCTCTTGATGCCGTATCTCGTATGGTCCAATTTCATCATGTTTCCAGGAGCATCTAACTTTCATAGGTCCTTTGAAGTCGTTTTGGAGACCAACATTGGTGAGTGAGACCAACGAGAGAGTCCCTAAGAGCATGAAAGCAAAGGAACGAGTTCATTTCTTTTGAACAATGATCTATCGTTGGATTTGGTAAAATATATACTCTCTAGACATCTCTC